ATATATGTAAATTGTTAAGTGTTTCCTTTTTTTACCCCACAGGTGAGTGGTGATTTTAGCCTAAAGAAATACAAACATAACTCTCTCTATAAAATAAACACTGTAAACTTTAGATATAGATATACTTTGGACGTTTCTTATCATGTTAACCTTAATCAAACATTATCAGCTCTTAGTTGTAACCTGACATAACCTCCATTAACTTTGAACCTACACTCACATCACCAAAGCAGGATTCACCACTGTGTCCTCCTGACTGCACACCAGAAGTCACAGTTATCTGTGCGGTGGTTTAATATTAAAAAATAAAACATATTCAACGAGATACAGACACAAGAGCAGGAAAGAGAAGGTAACACAAACTACTGAAGCTACTTCCGTAGCGCCTTCTAGAACGCCACGTCAGAAGCCAGACCAAAAAAATCGAGCACCAAACCTCAAACTAGTCGAGCAGGAGTAAATGGATGGGTGATGTGTACAGAAAGCAAAACCAACCGGTGAAACTTAAGGACGAAATAAACCCCCCTAAAATCTGACGTGTCAATTTGCTTATTAATCTACTGAGCAGCAGGCACCTAACTCACCTCCCGAACCCGTAGTTAAGCTAATATGTCAGTTAACTAACCCACACTATATATTCCTACAAAGTTAGCTAGTGTCTTGCTATGATCCGACATTGTTGCCACTAACTTCAACATTTAACTGTAAATGTTCAGTAAATTTAGGGTAGGCTGCCTCTAAAAGTGATGGAGGTGCATACAGTGGCTTGTAGTTCTTATCAGCAGTTACCCCATTCACTGCTGACGCTAATACTCAAATGAATGGGTGGGAAGCTTTAGCATGTGGCTAACGCTAGCTAGCTCGGACCTTGCTGGGTGAGTGAGGAGACAACGCCAAAACGACCACGTTAGCCACTTAAAGAAACGTAAAGCTAATCTGTAACACAAGGAAAATAACACTGTTGCATGTGTGATAGGAATTATCGCTATGGCTCACCTGCACACGACCTGCTTTTCCATATTTTGAGTAGCAGGATGATGATAGCAGCCAGATGAGAGAGGTCCCCTGTCAGTCTGAAGATGTTCATGGCTGCAGAGTGAGTTAGCAGACACTAGCTAGGAAGCTAACGCAGATGTGCCTTTATCCTTTGGACCAGATCGTTTCACACTTAATGCTGTCTTGTGTGAAAGCGTCTTCTCTCACCCAAGTTGGGAGCAAACCGGGCTGCGGGTTTCACACGATTGAAAATATGGCGAGAGTGCAGGTCGACGTGGAAGGGGGCGTGACAAAACAGAGAGGGAGATTCTGATTGGACTAAAATCTGACCGACAGTGAGAGAAGACCCGCCCACACGAAGCTGGACTGGAAGACTGGAGCTCTGTGTGAATGATCAGGGACACATTACCTTGGGTGGGACCAACGCTTGACTACAGTTTTGATATCTGAACTGTATTTAATGACCCTGTGTACTGTGATGGATGACGTGTTTATAACTGGGGTTGTTATTCCTGATACACTAACATGTAATCAGCTGTTTAGTGTTGAAGCTGGTTGAGGGGAAGCTAATCAAAACATCTTTACACACTGTTGGGTGGTTTAATCCAAAACTATTATCTGTACTTTATTGCTGGATCATATCTTAATTACTAATTTTGTATGTACAATATTAATCTGGAAAGCGACTAGGCTTTAACGCTGTCAAATACAGCAAATGCAACGGAAATAAAACATGCATATTATTCTAAAAAGAAGTGGAGAAGAGTAAAATACCATTAAAAAATAGTATATAAAGATAATAACTTATTTCTGTGGATGATACAGTGTTTGAGCTTGTGCTTTTGTAATTTTTATTTTAAATAATGGTCTAATTTTACATTTATTGCAATTAATATACTCAATTTTGTACAAATTACTATTTGTTGCTCATCTTTACAGTGTCTGTCAGGTTTGCGTTTCCCTCTTGCTACTAGCTGCTGCTAAGTCCTGCTATCAGCTGTTTCCTGTTTATCCACCGCCAGTGGGTCGCATGTGGGTCGCACTAACTCCTCCCACAAGTCTTCAACAGCCCCTCCCGTGGCGGAAGGCCGCCTCTGTCTTTTTAAACTAAAAGGGTTCCTCCAATATGTCTACCCTATGAGGCAGAAAATTGGGCACCTCGGATCAACTTGCCAGTCCGGCTCTGTGTGTCTAAACGCTCACAGCTTGCCTGCAAAACGGCCCAAAATTTGCAGAAAAACTGGCAGCGTAAAAGGGGCTAATGAATTGCGCGCCCTCCTTGTCCTCGCAAACGAAGAGGCCATTAACCGTCAGATGACGGGGATAATGAAGAACGGGCCGACTTACGAGAGAATCGCCAAAGGACTGACTAGCCGTGGCTTCCCTCCCACATCACTGGTTACGTCACACACTGAGCTACACTTTTTGTTACTTGCTCACGCCGCCCATTGCCCCGAAAAAGGCACATTCTGTATAAACAAAAGTAGGTAGGCGGCATTTTGAAGCACTCCCCGATTTTGTTTTTATACTGCCAATGCTGAAAAAAGACTGATTGGGCTTTCCCGCAAATTTGCACAATTCCTATCTAAAAATGTCTTCTCTATCTTTGTGCTGTATCAATGCAGTAATTTTATATGAATATGAAAGGCTGTATTTTATAGCACTGGAACTTTAATTTAAAATACGGTGGGAAAATATGGATCATGTATGAATGACATCAGCTGACAGGAAGTCAATATGGACCCAAGCTGTTTCCTAGCAATGCAATCCCAGTAAAAAGATCTATAAAGACAGAAAATGCAGACACAGAGAGGAAGATTAAGAAAAACTGACCAGTCAGAGCAGACCGGGCTATTTTGAGGGGTTCTTAAAGAGACAGGCACTGAAACGGAGCGTTTCAGAGAAAGAGTGAATACAGGTATATGCAGGTAGACAGTACGAGGGGAAAAAATGTTTTTTGAACTTTTAAGTATTTAAACACATTTTAATAGAAACCCAAAATATGAACCCAAGTGTGAGCCTGAAATAGATTTGGGACCTTTAATGTGGCTTTTCCATTAGTAACCCAATCTGAAGGCCATCTCTTTAAAGAGGGCTCCTCCTGTGTCAAAATCTACATTTAAGACCTTCATCAGGCTGAGTGTGTGCACAATGCAGGTTTGTCATGTGGCCGTGACACGCATATCAAACCACATCTCACTGAATACAACATTTTGTCCCGGTATGTTCAACATGATTTCACCTTGTTTATCTCTCAGTCAAATTATTATTTCTGAGTATTACTAACCACACATCAGACATTTTCCTCCTTTCCTATATTGCTCCATTGCCTATATGCACAGAGATGATGGTAAACGTCCTGCTGCTTCTCACAGAAAATGTTATTCATATTAGGCAATAACATGCTGATGATGAAGCTACTTGTGGTTTCCTGATGACAATGACACAAATCTCTCTGCATTTTGACCTTTATTCATAACTTTTAAGCGTTTCATGTATTTACACTTATTGTGTCATGTTACTAGAAACACACTGAAATGTCTAATGCTTTTGAAAATCCATAGTATCACCATTTAGCGGCAAAATACAGAAAAATAAGTAGGAACTAAGTGTTGAGGAAGTGCAGTATACCCACTTCCCATGTTGTCACCCATTTAGACAGCCTCATGCGAGGAATAATGAGATCATTCACACGTTGTCAAAACTCAGACATGGACCGGGTGTTTTGGTGTTCTCTCCTGCTCTCCTGCCTGCCTGTAATAGGTAAGATGTCTTTGTTATGTCTTTATGTAGATTCGTCCTGTGTTTTGAAGAAGTTCATTGTTCCACATAAGCAATAAGAATATAAGGCATCACAGCTTTGGTCCAACAATAGCTCCGTGGTCTCTCTGAAACATTTTGGGAAGACACTGAATGTTGCAGCCTACCTTTTACATTTTTTTGTCTATTCATTTCAGAGAGCATGGAAAAAAGCTGCTTGTCACAGCCGAACAAGGTGATCTGGAAGAAAACAGGACATAGTGCTGATCTTCGTTGCACCGTCAGATCACCTTGTGTAGCCGATGACTTTCATTATGAGTGGTTCGTATTCAAGGAACGCAAACATTTTTGTCTCAACCTCAACAACTCTGCCAAGTACAGCTTAAACAAAGCATCTTTACACATTAAATTGCTTCAAGTTAACGACAGCGGGATCTACCACTGTGCTGCAGCATCAAGTGGAAGCTCAGCATCTGGTGCCCAGCATGTGGGGATGGGTACGACTCTTGTAGTGAGGGGTAAGAGTCTGATTATAAATGTGAGGCACAACTGTTTGGATGTGTTGATTAAGATAATTAGGAGAGACCTTTTTTTCTTTTGTTTTCAGAACAAGATAAAACAATGCTGAAGGACATTGTTCTGTGGTTGTCATTTGTCCTCTTGGCCATTTACACCTTGGCAATAGTGACACTTATACTAAAGAAGGTAAATTACTTAGACGTGTTTATTTTAAATGTAATGTGTTAAGATCTATCAGAGTTCGTGCAAGCAAAACTGAAAACTGATAATGCACTGATGTGAAATCTGCTCCTCTCTGTTACAGTACGGCTGCAAGATGAGCGGAAGGACGGATAGCACTGACAAGGTTGTAGATAACCTTCTGATTTTCTCTTATAGTTTGTGTTTGATGTGTTTACTAAATGGGGAAAAGCCAACAGAAGCAAAAAGAGGAACAGGAACCAGGGCCTCTGTAATTCAGCTAGAAAAGGCTCTTGCAACACCCCAAGTGATAAGCAGCAGTTGTCTGACCTTTCTTAAAAAGAAAAAAAAAAACAGGAAGAAGAATTGAACATCTCTGTTTAATAACCAATTTCTTCTGAACTTTCCAAACAGAGAATCTCAACGAAAAAAGTACAATTCCGTGACGTGCTGCAAGAAATGAACAGTAAGGGAAAGTTGGGCAGAGGCAAAAAAACAGCCAGCAGACACCGTCCTGAAGCTGAGGTAAATCTTGTTGCAGCACACTGTGGTTAGATTTATCAACAGACGGGTTGAGTAAGCAGGAAACTTCTGCATAGCTTGTTTCACAGCATGTTTTACCCTCATTTTTTATATAGAGTTTGATCTTGTTGCAGGCTTCGAGCACTGAGTTCAACAACTCCGCTGATGACATCTATCAAAACGTCTAAGTATCATTCAAGGATATTAAATGACAGACTCAGAGGTCCATTATTTGGACTAAGAGGAAGTTCCACAGCCATGTAACCCCTGATGAAGGACGCTGTTGACATGAGTAAATCATAACGGGCTGCAAGTCAGTTGTGTGCTTGCTCACTCACTTGCTCACTAGTTTTATTTATGTTCTGTTGATTGTTATTAATATGTGAGCATCTTCAACCATTTCAAAACCAGGACAGTGTTTACACAGAGAAGACAGACAGAAAAATGTAGCGGAGTCACACCATTTTAATTCATCAATTTAATGTCTCCCATAAAAGCAGAGTGACAGAAAAATAACGTGAGCTGTACTTTCAGGAATAGAGAGTAAAAAGCAGCACACGTGATTCACATTTTCAGTACAAAGATCATGTTCAGAAATGAAAGTGGAAATCAGAAGTGTGCAAGAGTGCAAATAAGGCTTCTTCGAGGACAGTGTCACTTCTCTGGAGAGGATTCAAGGTAATAACTTGATAATATCATGTCAAAATCATCTCATTATTAAGCAACACTTTACTCAAAAAATAAGGAAAGCACAAACTTGTATCAACATTCTGGGCATAGGTATATACAAACACATTTTTTTCTACAAAAAACCCCCAAGAAAGTTTCATCAAAAAATGTAATGACAAGAGAGACACATTACAAATAACTAATAATACACAAATACATATAGTAGACAAAGTCACATCAAGCAAGGAAAGATTGTATTTTTGGTGCTGGAGTGGTTTTTGTTCTGAAAAATCATCATCAGCTGACAATAAAACTTTACATTAAGGCATTAGGCTAGGTTATATTCTGTACAATGACCCCCATGAATATTTGTTCGCTGTAATTGCCACAGCAATAATCCCACCAGCTAACATTAGAATTTACTCATACACAAAGTCAAAGTGGATGTTTATATGTACTGTGTGCATTTCTTTACACATTAAAAGCTGTGATATCAAGTTTTGTGTTTATACCATTCACTCAAACATCCTTAGTTCAGAGTCTGTGTGAATTATTCCCTTTCTGCCTCCTGTTTTGTTTCTGTCTACTGTAACTTTAAAGGGATAGTTTGGATTTTTTTGAAGCGGGGAAGCAGGCTGGAGTCTGACATGGAGGGGTCAGCCACAGAACGTATTTTTGCCCACCTAAATTAAGTCCAACCTTAAAAAAGAAGACAAAAAATTGTTGTCAGTTTAAGTGTACACTATGTTGAGAGTATTTTCAGCGCTTTGCTTTTTTGTCAGGAAAAGCCATTAACAGCTTCAGTTCTCCATCTATGCTCTCGTCAACGCCACCAGACTCTATTGACAAAAACAGTCATTTTAGCTCGCTGAACACAGAAGCTGCTGGTCTACCGCTGCCTCCATCAGTTAGTTAGTTTGTGTTATTGTGTGACTTTGGTGAGTCTGAACTAAACCTTTTAAATGCTGAAGTCACACAATCCAACAAACAAAATAACTGACTGAGGCAACGGTAGATTAGCAGCTCCTGTGTTCATCAATGTTAAATCACTGTTTTTCTCAATGGAGTCTGGCTTGACTGATGCTGATTTTTGATTGATTTTTGACCCCTCCTCAGCAGACTGCTTAACTTCCATGTCAGACTCCTGCTGGCACCTACTGTATTTAATATACTGTGTATGTATTATTTACCCCATAAAACCCCACTTAAAAAAATCGGAACTATCACTTTGAGATTGTAAGCCAATGAAGTTGACTCAAAACATTTGAGATCCTATGTTACATCCAGTGAAAAGCTACACACAGTGCAACTGTTCAGTGCCAGTTTCAGAGTGACGCAGTCATTTTCATGGCCAGTGCTCACACTGTGTAAGTAGCAAATGTACTTGCACCCTTCACTCAGACTGTGTGCTGTTTAACTAGCAAAAATGTAGCTGGACACGCCCTAAATGCACTTGTGCCATGCACTATAGATAATTTAAAGAGGGCCTTTAAATAAGTATTTCGCCACTGGAAAGATTGTCTTTTCATAAAATGCATCAGAAAGACGTAAATGCTTTTGAAATTTGTGCTACATGACAGGAGAAAACATAGAAAAGTGCTGTGGCATTCACCTTTGCTCAGGCGGTAGAAAACCTACAACTACCAGAAGGCACTGCGCCCACATCAGACTAATAAATGCTCCCACTTGTAGATGATGCAAATCTGGAATTAGAGTTAAACAGTAAGCTAAAACATGTTTCTAAAACATTTTAGGCTAGAAATAGGCAACGCAGTGTCAGCGTGTGTTTTCTCTGGGTACTCTGGCTTCCTCCCACAGTCCAAAGACATGCAGGTTAATTGGTGACTCTAAATTGTCCATAGGTGCGAATGTGAGTGTGAATGGTTGTCTGTCTCTATGTGTCAGCCCTGCGATATTCTGACGTCCTGTCCAGGGTGTACCCTGCCTCTCGCCCAGTGTCAGCAGGGATAGGCTCCAGCCCCCCCACGACCCCCGACAGGGTAAGCAGTTAGAGAATGAATGATAAATGCAGAGTTTTACCATTTGATCGGAGTTTGGTCTGAGTTGTTGTTGTGATACAAGGCTGGTTGAAAATCAGCGAAGTATCCCTTTAATGTTACTCAAGTAGAGGTTAAAATTTGCAGTAAAACAAAAGCATAAGGCCACACAGAATGTGACTTAGTGTACTGTGGAGTATGGCTTGAGCTAAAGCCATGTTTTGTCATTACAGCAAAGATGTGATGATGAAATTAGACTGTGCACTGGCAACAGCAGGTGTCGCTCAACCAACGTGACGCCAATTTCATTGAATTAGTAGCTTGCAGTATGAGATAATGTCCACTCGCTCATTTTGACATGATCATGCATCAATACAAACACCACACTTGCGACACATACATGACCCAACAAGAGCGCTGTAGGACTCGCAAAGGTATCTTCAATTTTTGAGTGACACTCATTTGTGACGTGTGATGCAGTAAGCAGTGCTCAAGAGGTATATTTTTGAAACGGGGCCCTGATCCACATCTCCAGCAGCTACAGTGCCCTCCAAAAGTATTGGAACAGTGAGTCCAATTCGTTTACTTTTGTTGTAGACTGAAAACATTTGGGTTTGACATCAAAAGATGAATATGAGACAAGAGATCAACATTTCAGCTTTTATTTCCAGGTATTTACATCTGGATCTGATACACAACTTAGAAGATAGCATTATTTGTAATGGAACACAAAATTTTTAGGTGAGCAAAAGTATTGGAACATATAAACTTAAAATAGATTAAAGTGAATGAGACTTAATATTTAGTTGCAAATCCTTTGCTTTCAACAACTGCATCAAGCCTGTGACCCATTGACATCACCAAACTTTTGCATTCTTCTTTTGTGATGCTTTTCCAGGCTTTCACCACAGTCTCTTTCAGTTGTTTGTTTTGGGGGGTTACTCCCTTCAGTCTCCTCTTCAGCAGGTAAAATGCATGCTCTATTGGGTTTAAGTCTGGAGACTGACTTGGCCAGTCTAAAACCTTCCACTTCTTGCCCCTGATGAACTCCTTTGTTGTTTTGGCAGTGTGTTTTGGGTCGTTATCTTGCTGCATGATGAAGGATCTCCCAATCAGTTTGGTTGCATCTTTCTTTAAATTAGCAGACAAAATGTTTCTGTAGACTTCTGAGTTCATTTTGCTGCTGCCATCATGTGTTACATCATCAATGAAGATTAAAGAGCCCGTCCCAGAAGAAGCCATGCAAGCCCAAGCCATGACATTCCCTCCACCGTGTTTCACAGATGAGCTTGTATGTTTGGGATCATGAGCAGATCCTTTCTTTCTCCAAACTTTCACCTTTCCATCACTTTGGAAAATGTTAATCTTTGTCTCATCAGTCCATAAAACTTTTTCCCAGAATTTTTGAGGCTCATCTCTGTACCTTTTGGCAAATTCCAGCCTGGCCTTGCTAATGAGTGGTTTGCATCTTCTGGTGTAGCCTCTGTACTTTTGTTCATGAAGTCTTCTGCAAACAGTAGATTGTGATACCTTCACTCCTGCCCTCTGGAGGTTGTTGCTGATGTCACTAACAGTTGTTTTAGGGTCTTTCTTTACAGCTCTCACAATGTTTCTGTCATCAACTGCTGATGTTTTCCTTGGTCTACCTGTTCGACGTCTGTTGCTTAGTACACCAGTGGTTTCTTTCTTCTTCAGGACATTCCAAATGGTTGTACTGGCTATGGCCAATGTTTGTGCAATGGCTCTGATTGATTGTCCATCTTCTCTCAGATTCACAATTGCTTCTTTTTCACCCATAGACAGCTCTCTGGTTTTCATGTTGGTTCCACCTCTAAATGCAGTCTGCACAGGCAAAACCTATCGTACCCAATCTGAAACTGAGCTCAGACATTCAGTGCTATTTATTGTTTGAATAATCAATGTAATTGGGAGACACCTGGGCAACAAAACACACCTGTCAGTCACATGTTCCAATACTTTTGCTCACATGAAAAATGGGTGGGTTCAAACAAAAGGTGCTATCTTCTAAGTTGTGTATCAGATCCAGATGTAAATACCTGGAAATAAAAGCTGAAATGTTGATCTCTTGTCCCATATTCATCTTTTGATGTCAAACCCAAATATTTTCAGTCTACAACAAAAATAAAGGAATTGGCCTCACTGTTCCAATACTTTTGGAGGGCACTGTACATATTGCTACAAACGTTGATTAAAAAGTCCAAGTAATATTCTACATCTTGTACCTAGCTTACTGACACCATATGGTGTGATAGTGACAGTCATTTAATTAAGTTCAGCTTCTGTTTTGGTTCAAGAGCTCTGCCCTTTAGCTGCCACAGCTATTTCTTTAATTGGATGTTACTGTTATAATTAATAAAAGACACCTACTGTTAATTCCCACTGCCAGGATGTATCACCTCTGTTTCGCTTGACTGTTTCAGGATGCAGCACGACAACTTCTGTGTCAGCTCTCTAATTTACATTCAGCTTTGATGTTTAAACAAGAGCAACTTCGAACGATTTTCCACACGCCCTCTGAGGACAGCCGTCACACAGGATGTTCCTGCTAATTAGCTGCTGAGGTTAGTGACTGGACAAAGTGTCTGACATGTAACACACGCTGGGATTTTGTTTAAGAAGAGGATTTCAAGGAATGTAAGACAGCATGATCCCTGCTATGTCAGGTCCAGTTATCCAGGAAGTGTCTGACAGGACAGATTCTGTACTCTTTACACAGATTATTATTTCCTTCAAACATACAAAAATGTACTCATTATTTTCAACATAATCTCACACTTTGCAAAAAAAGAAGTTCCCCAAATCCCATCTGAAGAACCAGTTTCCTTCGACTGCTGGAAATACTACAGTTAGCCGTCAATGTACTTCGTGTCCACTGTGTGACTGTTGCGTATGGAAAAAGGCCTCCAAGCGAGGGCTTTCAGACCAGCGACACACAGGGGCACCAGGCACACCAAGTAGAACATGACACTGTGGAGGCTCTCCAAGGCACTGCAAACAAGGAGGTATGAAATAGATTTGTTTATGACTACAGTAATTGAGGCATCACCATTTGACCGGTTGCTAAATGAGATAACAATGATACAGTATACGTTACAATCTGAGCATGTTAGGCAGACGTGATGTGTTTCTCAATGTTTTTAAGCAAAGACCTTCTTTTAGCTTTTTTTAACCATTCCAGTTGTTGTTTATCACACTTGTGCTAATGTAATATAACTATCTGACTCCAAAGCTCAGAGTTTATGAAACTTTATTACCAATGAATTTTAAAATGAAAGGCCACCTCTAAATCACTGACATTTATTCATTCGTAGATAAACATGATGGGGAAAAGAAACGGTTTCTGAGCATTATACGTTTCCATACAGTAGTTAAAGCTGAAGTCATCACTATGACTGGTAGTGGTAGTTCTTCTTGGATCCAAATGCTGATCGTAATATAGTGTATGAGTAATAACTTCAATAAAACAGCTACCGGCTGTAATCACAGGGATCTCAGCAGTTATGACTTGAAACTATTGAGATTAATTAACTTAAAATGGTGCACACTAGTGGCTCTGCACACTTACAGTACATTGCTACTGTTCATTTTCAAAAGCATAATCTAAGTTGGTTCCCATAACTTTGGTGTTTTTCAACCTGCACCCCATTGTCACATGTTTTTGTGTCTACACGACTGACGGGAACAATTTTTGAAATTGGTCCAGTATTGAGGGAGAGAGCTGGGGCGAAAAAGGCTGCTGTAACCACGTCTGGCAATTATGTACCGTTAATTTAAGTCTACTACAAGTGCTTGTTTTTGCCACTGACAGGCTCAGATTGTTACTCTGACAGTGTCTGACAACATTATGGAAAGGATCACTAAAGAGGTAATTTTTGTTAAAGAGTGAGATCCCTTTTGTTGACCAAAAACAGCCCAGAAATCAGTATCACCAAACCCACCAAACTCCATTAAATTAAATAGCAAATTTATCACTGCAGGACACGCTTCATTCAAAAGTGACAAAAACAAAATGAAACTCAACAAAGACATATTTCTTCGTCTTTCCACTTTCCCAACAATTAGCAACTCTGGTTTGGTTGAAATAAACCTGTATTTCACCCAGTTGTGAGTGTGATGTAAATGTGAAAATATGCTGACTCGATACAAGCTAAAATTAGTGTTTATTTAAATGGAGTCTGGTGGGTTTGAGAACAGTGGTTTTAGGCTTCTGGTTAAACATAAAGGATTGTACTCTTTAACAAAAAGGTCTGTTTCTGTAGGGATCCTTTCCATATTGTTGTCAGGCACTTAAAATAATAATAATCTGAGCTTGTCAGTGATAACAACAAACACTTTTAGCCTGTTTTCCTGCTGCCAGCTGCAGCCCTCTCCCTCAATACTGGACCAACGTAAAAGAAATGTTGTTCCCATTTTTTGTCACTTAGACACAAAAATATAAGAAAATAGGGTCCAGGTTAAAAAATACTTACGTTTCCCTTTATGGGATAGATACATTTCTTACAGCCTGCTGTAAAATAAAATGGCAAGCTGGCAATGGCAAACAGTTTCTGCTTGCTGTGATTATTCCCTCTGTTCATGCTGGCTGTGAAGAAATGAATTCCTAAATTAATCAGATGTTTTAATGAGATTTGAGTTAGTCAAATAATATGGACAACTTACGAAATCAAAGTCAATTTGGTGATGTATTTTAGCACATATAGAAAGAACTGTGGATTTTGTTTCCTATCACTTACATTGGAAATGCACTAGAGAGGGATCTCTTGGAAGTATGAACAGGACGAATAGTTACAGCAAGCTAAACCCTGTTACTGTGTTCATACTGGCACCTGACTCTTCTCTTAAGACTGACCTGAAAAGTTGCATTCCACCCATCACAAATGAATTCACTTAAAATTTTTTTTCATACTGTAGTGGCATGAATTGAAACTAATGGCTGTGTAGAGGGAACAACATCAAACTGAACACTTAAGGCATGGTCATGGAAATAATTGTCAGTAATATATAGTATAAACCATTTATGAGGCATGCAGACCCAAAGGTCAACGTCACCGGCTGGACCTCTTATAATATTGATATTTTCCCTCAAATTATGATGTTTATTTTCCAAGTCCAGGGAAGCCAACAAATATCATAATGAATTAAAACCAAACAGAATCGTTACCGTCAACAATCTATAAAAAATGAAGTGGATGAAAGGTAAGGTGCAGAGTTAGAAAAATGTGTTTTCATGTGTGTGGTTCTTTTGTTTGGTCAGACTTTTTGGGTCGGCTCAAGTTTTGACCTATAAAAGAACAGTTTAAAAGATTTAGAAGGATTTAATTCCTTCAGTATTCTTTGTTCAGGAGGTTTTTACCCAGAGGCAAACTATCCGTAGATGTCTCTTCCTCTCCAATACGAACGGACCGGGAGTTTCATGTTACATACCAGTGCTTCTCGAAGGCTGTTTGTTCTGTATGTTGCAGACGGTCCGCTAGCCCTGCACCTGCTAATGTGTGCTCACCTACTTGCTACTGTAAAAACATGGCGATGCAACATGGTGCAACACTTGACCGTTAAGTGAAGAAGAAGCAGGAAACTCTCTTTACCTTGGATCTGAATACTTCCCCACTTCCTTCAGCTGTTCATATCCAAACTGGTTGAGGATATTAACTACTATCATGGGGGCCAGAGACTGAGCCGGCTTAGTGAACAGAGCATTTGTCCCAAAGACCATTGAGGAGAGAGGGGAACTGTGGAAGGGGGGATAAAGAAGAAAACATGACACAATATTATATCACTAGTCAAATAAATACAGCTGTGCATTTAGCACTGGTTACAAATTCCCTTTTTCAGGTTTAAACACAATGTTGCATCAAAGTGCAAACACACCAGGTGATGTGCTGTAAATTTGGATGTAAGGAATTAGTGGAAATGTGCTGATAATCATATTTGTTTTACCTGCGCTTGTACTTCTGCAGGTCTGTGTCAATGATGTCAGCCACAGGCAAGCTAAAAAGACTGAAGGTAGCTTGGGTTAGGACCCTGCATAGGAGATACAGAGAGAGAGAGAGAGAGAGCATGAATAATCCAATCAAGATGGTGTTATTGTATAGTGTTAAAGTGAAAGGATGTTGGATCGAATGTCTTTTAACCTCTTACATGTTAACGGTGAGGAAAAATGCCAGGACATAGTGGTGCTGAGGACCGAGTGCGAGCATGACAGCCGCCATTCCAGCCTCTATGTAGAAAGTGTAAAGTATGATCCTGTAGTAGCCAAGATCATGGAGTAGTCTCTGACAGCTCAACACTAACAGCTGGGATGGAGACAAGGGGTCAGGAACAAGGCATAAATATAAAGAAGCATTGGTATGTTGGAGGTGCATTCAGGTGCTTGTACAGAGCTCTGAAATCTGAGTGAGTTTGAGAGTGGACTGCAAGAAAGCACTGTATTAATGAGCTGTGTTGTAAGTAACAGTCAGGACAAAAGGACACCACTGAGGGAAAATACCTGTGGACAGATGAATCCCGCTCCATACATGATACTCTTGGCAAGCGACGGAAGCACATCTGGAGGAATCAGGTGCTCAGCAAATATCATTGTAAAATTATTAAAGAAGTGTAACATGAAAACCTGGAAGAAGTTCATGCACACGAACAGCTGGAAGTCCCTGTTGCTGAGAATTTGCCAAATCAAAGTTTTTAACGTGGAGAAGGAAAATGCTGACTGATGGGAGGTCTGATCAGAAGACTCCTTCGCCTCCGATTCAGACACTTTGCTATCAAAGCGGCTCTCACTGTGGAAGCCTGTGTAGAGCATGCAGCCACAGCTCAGGACGGCAATCAGCACTGTGAAGGCTTGGAAAGACGCCAAGTCCTCCATGTTTTTGGACAGGACGCCACAGAAGAGGACGCTGGAGGAGCCAATGAGAGAAGCCACCTGGGGAATAAAAGGGAGGGGATAAGAGATAGTCAGAGAGTTCCCCTTTTGGCTTAGGGGCACACAGAAGACAGATGGCAGAAGTGTTTGGTGTTTACCTGGTTGTACTTTATAAGCCTTAGTCGGCTCTGATGTTGGCCAGAAATCTCTGCAAACATCGAACATTGTGCCAGCAGCACAAAAGTCAGCATGCCGTCAAAAGCACAAAGCGTCACAGCCAAGTGTAAGCCACTCAGCCAGTCGCCGGGGGCGTACGTCCGCCATGGGAACCAAGCTAGAAGAAACGCCAGTGAGTAGAAGGGAGCGCCATACAGGATGGAGAGACGTCGCTGAGAGCAACAGGGCACCTTGGAGTTATCTTGCAGGTAGCCAAAGAGAGGGTCATTGACTGCATTCCACACCATGTACACCACCTGCAGAGACAGCATTGCGAAGACAATTCATTGATAAGACAATCTCCAGAATGTTAATGAGCAACTATTTTGACAACTCATTATTTATTAAACTCATTTGTCATCCAAATAGGCCAAGCATATTCCCATTCTAGCTTCTAAAATGTGAAGATGTGCTGCTTTTCTTTGATTAACATGATTACAGATTGAGTATCTTAAGGTTTTCTGAATTTGATGCCTGCAACACCTTCCAAAAAAAGTTGTGATGGGGCATGTTTCCCACTGTGTTACATCACCTTTACGTTTAACAACAGTCAATACGTGTTTGGGAACTGAGGACACTAATTTTTTTTTTTTTTTTTTCCCACACTAGCTTTAAATACAACTTTATTTGCGCAACAGTCCGGGGTCTCTGTTGTCATATTTTGCGCTTTGTAATGCACCACACACACTACAAAGACACGCTGTTGTAACACGTGCAGGATGTGGCTTGGAATGTGCATGTTACACCGTGGGTAACTTGCACATCTGTGAAGGCCCCATGAATGTTAAAAGGCACATATGGGTTTTTGAGCAGCAGATGTTGACATCCAGACAACATCTTTTTCAGGGACGTCCCCGCTTGTTCCATGCAGCAACATGATGCCAATGTACATTAGGCACATGTTACAACAGCTAACACACCGCCATACCATCACAGAAGTTGGCTTTTTAACTTTGCACTATTAACAATCTGGATGGCCCTTTTCCACTTAAACCCAGAGGACATGACGTCCATGATTTCCAGAAACAATTTGAAACGTGCACACTTTTCCACTTTGTGTTAGTGCACCTCAGATGAGCTTGGGCCCAGAGATGTCAGCAGCGTTACTGGATGTTGTTGATGTATGGCTTTCACTTTGCATCTGTAGATGCAGCGATGAATTGCATAGACTGATAATGGTTTTCCAAAGTGTTCCCTAGCACAGCCATCCATCCATTTTCATCCGCTTATCTGGGGCCAGGTCACGGGGGCAGCAGGCCAAGCAAAGCACCCCAGACGTCCCTCTCCCCAGCAACGCTTTCCAGCTCTTCCTGCTGGACCCCAAGGCATTCCCAGGCCAGATGAGATATGTAATCCCTGCAGCATGTTCTGGGTCTGCCCCGGGGCCTCCTACCAGTGGGACGTGCCTGAAACACCTCCAGCGGGAGGCGCCCAGGACGCATCCTGATCAGATGCCCGAACCACCTCAACCGACCCCTATCGACGCGAAGGAGCAGCGGCTCTACTCCGAGCTCCCCCCGGATGTCCGAGCTCCTCACCCTATCTCTAAGGCTGAGCCCAGCCCATGTTGTAATATCCTTTAGACAATCATGTTGGTTTTTAAAGCAGTGCTGCATGAGAGGTCAAAGGTCACATGCGTTTAATATTAGTTTTCATCCTTGCCCCTCGGATTCTCTGAATCTTTTGATGGTATTCTGGATTGCAGATGGTGAAATCCTAAATTCTTTGCAATTGTGCATTGAAAAACATTGTTTTTAAACTGTTTGACTATTTGCCCATATACAGTTATTTACTTGTGGACAGCTGAGCCTTTCGAGGACGCCCCTTTCATACCCCAAAATCATGCTTAAATCTGTTACCGAACCTGTATACCTCTGGTATGTTCTTTTGTGTCTCCCCGTCCCAACTTTTTTGGAACATGCTGCAGGCATCAAATTCAGACCAAGTGTGTGTTTACAAAAAAACAATGTAGTCTATCAGTTTGAGCATCAAATATCTTGTCTTTGCACTGCATTCAATTGAAAATAGGTCAGAAAGGATTTGCAACTGGGGCTGTATACTGATATACATCTGCATGCAAAAAACAGCACTAAGTCAAGAAAACGTATTCACCTGTGATTGGTGGAATGCTCCCTCTGATATCTTGTACTTATTGAGAAATAGTTTGACATAGTAGAAGCTGAATATGTTGTTTATCATGCTGGCTCCCAGTGTGGTCATGGCATATGACACAGCCGCCCAGTCCAACCTTAAGGTCCTCAGGTGTCGGACTACACTCATCCTTCCTGGGGCAAGTTTCTCCAGGCAGCTCAGGTAACAACCAAGTTGATGTTAACTTGGTAACGTAGCTAGGTATAACTAGCTGGAGTGCGGCAATATCCTGGCTTGCAATAACTATGTAACGCTGTTGTTGTTTGGCATTGCTAAAAGTATTGCTAGTGAAGTTGTCAGCACTCCAGAGCAAAGAAAGCGGTCAGTATTTAGCTTGTCCTTGTTCCAGCTGTCTCATTTTCACGATGTCCACATGTCACGATGTCACTTCAGGTTAGGACACTTTGTGAATGTTTATTGAAGCTGTGTGGTATCAAAAAACTTAACTGGAAACCTGTCAAACCCGATTTCTGTGCCGGCTACGCGGAACAGGGCGTGGCTTGTTGATAACAAACATCTGATTGGTCGGGAGAGTCCTTTGGCTCTACTTGCTGCTTCGTGATTGGTCGATAAAACGGCTGTCAACGGAAGCAGGAAGTTACGACAAAGAAAACATTTTTAAAATATATTTAACTTTTGCTGTAGAGTTTAGTTTGTAAACTGAACTAAAAGTTAATTTGAATATTGAATATCTGTTAAAATAAAAAAGAAGTTAAAAGTTGTTTTCCTGTATCGCAGTCATATCTGCCACCTGCCGGATGCAGGCGTGTATCTGCCACGTTGCTGTAGACAACAGACTCTCACCGGGAGGATGTAGTTTACGTTTCTCCACGCTCGGTGGTGGACGGCGGAGAACTTACAGCTGCTAGTTTACTTACACAGACACCCGTGTGTCGGGTCTCTGTCAGGTGGAGCCGCTGACAGACACGCCACGCGGCTTTAAGATGTTGACAGACGTGATTTTGGAGGAAGAGTTTGACAAGAGTGGAGAGGCTTGGTACGACCCGCAGGACCTTGAACACGGTAAGTGCTGCTCGGGTTTGCGGTCGCACCCTAAGTTGTGTCCGACTGTGTGGGCTGATGTGTTGTTACTCCACAGACAGCAGAATAATGTAGCTGAGATATTGTCACATCAGCTATGGCACAAGCTTGTTAATGAATACACAGATCACATGGGTTTTCTCTGCACTGACATGACACAAATGGCTCTCAGTTGAGATTTAAGTCTGTAGTCTACACTTGTGACTAAATCATCATACAAGTCATGAGGTGAAATCTGGTGTCCTGAGGCTGTCACAGCTCCCCTGTGGATGGTTTCCCTCTGAAACACTTGCTTCTCATGCTTGTTGTTTGTGCTGTTGAGTTCACAGAGGTGGCTTTGAGATAAAGAGATTTCACACGAGACAAACTGCACATCACATAAACCATAATAACATTGATGAAAAGCAATAACCAGAATAAAACTAGAAGATAATTCTCTAATATGTATTGAAAATACACTTTACAGTTGTGTTTCTCCTTCGTAGGTCGATGTTAAAATTAAATTATTTGTCAATCTTTTTAATATACATATGTATAGATAATTATTATTTTCATTATAAGTTAATCTGTTGATAACTTCTCTATTCATTAATTAGTAATTTGATCTATTAAATTGTCAGAAAATGGGGGAAACATGTTCATCTGTGTTTTCCAAATCCCAAAATGATGTCCTCAAATATCTTGTTATGTCCACAACCTGAATGTTTTCAGTTAAATGTGGCAGAGATGTAACGAAACCAGAAAATATTTTTATTTAAAGAGCTGGAATTAGAATTCTTTTTAGTTTTTTTCCCCCTTTAAAAACAGATTAATCAGTTGTGAAATTAGTTGCCGATTAATTTAATCGTTGACAGCTAGGCTAATTGATTAATGATTGTAGCTCTGTCATAATAATGAGATGAATATAGCTATGTATATGTATGTATAGCTGTGTCTAACTTTAGTACTTTATTTTACTTAACTGTACTGTAGCCTACTCTTATCTTATCTTATCTTAAAAATTGTAAGAGAACAATGAGCAGAATTGTAATGATCAATAAGTCGATGCCAAAAAAATGAGCGGCCACAACTTTAACTTCAACTATATTTTGTCCCTAGAGAGCAATTAGTTGCACAGGAAGTAAATACACACTTGAAAAGACACGAGAGAACACATAAGAATAAAATACCCAACAATTGGAAGGAGTGATCTGAAACAACAACTTGATCAGTGTGAGGTTTCATGCTTCTGTTTGACATATGAATGAAACGTGAGTATATTTGGGGTTTGACCTGTGCCAAAGACTTGTTGCTTACAGCCCTGATTAATTACTGTTATAATTAAAATGATGAATGTAGAAATAAATGACCAAGTGAGCAGTCTGTCCAAGATGAAGGAAAAAAATCTTGGCCGTTATGGGCAGAGGAGTCACATTCCTGATACACAGGCGGGTCTTTGCACAAAGTGATGGCAGCAGGAAGGAAAGACTTCCTGTAGCATTTTACAGCTGAGCTTACTGCTTGTAGATTTAGGATCCCAGTTTGTGCGGCATCCTCCTGTTCGCTACAAGACATTCACCAGATTGTTTTTTGGCTGCGTGGCAGGTTTGAATTAAAAATCACAGGGGGCATACACTGCTCAGTGCGTGAAACATGCTTGGTTTCATTGTCTTCCATTCAGAGGGCTAGTCAACACTGCTGCTGGACAAGATCCAGACTTTAGTGGGAGAAAAGGTCACAAGATCCCAAGGCATGCCTCAGATTCCTGCTCGATTCACCAGTGCCAGATGCTTAATAGTGTGACACAATGAGGTGTATGTGTGTGCGCCAACCTTTTACACACGCTCCAGTTCTATCAGTTGCCTGTGTTTGGGCATTGAAGCCCATCTTGCACCCCGTGTTTACATCTTTTCCTGTGTTTCTGACAGATCTCCACTTGGCAGCGGAGCTTGGGAAAACCCTCCTGGACAGGAACCATGAGCTGGAGCAGGCCCTGCAGCAGATGTACTCCACCAACCAGGAGCAGCTGCAGGAGATAGAGGTGATAAATGTTCGGAAGGAACTCATGAGAGTTCTCGAGGCCCCGGCAGCACTAAACTCTTAGCTGCATTTCCATTTCACCACGCAAAACACATGCTGAAACATATACACCTTTTGCTGTCGGTGCATATTGAGCTGCAGATATGTGGTGATTTTATTTGAATGAGACAACAATGACAGATTCATTGAGGAGCTCTTTCACTGGAAGCGAGGTGCCATTGTGAATTTCTTTAAATAGGATGGAGTAAAAGCTAATCCTGATCAGTCTGACCCAGTAGTGAGCCTTTGGTGTGGCCTTGGCAGGATGTTCGTCTGCCTAATTATAGGAAAACTTTCACCTGCTTATTTGCCGCCGTCTACCTTTTACTTGGACATGGTCAAGTCAACAAGATCTTAAAGAAGGCTTTGCTTTTGCTACAAATATTTATGTGTTATTCCCAACCATTTCCCTTAAAGGACCCCTTTTCTATCATTGAGGAAACTGACGACCCCTGACTGACATGTTTTATTGATATTTCATATTATATTTAATGCATAACAATACCAGCACAAATAACTGTACACTTAACTCAAATAGTGAACACAATAACTGCAGGAAATTTGTGAAAAATGGTTTGGATTCATTTTGAGCACCTTATTTCATGTGAATATTTCATCAGAGATGAGTTTTCCTTATATTTTAAGGAACTTTCTTAACAATTCTCCGTCTGTATTATGTATATATTTTTATTTATTTTTAGCAATCATACATATTTACTAGGCTTCTTTTTTGACAGTTTCAGTGTTTTCTTCCAACTGATGCTCGGCCATTGTTCTTTTAGCTCCTTGGTTGTTTTAACTGTGTATTTTAATATGCAGGACGCAGCCATTTAGCACAAAGTGAAGGCTCTGTGAATTATTTATCATTATTTAATTAATTATTATTTGATTAAGATTTATCCTGTTTTTAGATTTATATCTTGAATAATTATTTAAACTTTAAAAACCAAAAAAAATACTTTTCTTCACAGAAATAATTGAAATGCTGAGATATAGCATTTAACCCACTGCTCTGTAATTATTATTTTTTAAAGTTTTTCTCACACCCCTTAAAAATTAAGAAGGCTTTGCGACCCCCCCATGAAAGTGTGGCGACCCCCAAGAGGCGTCAGGACCCTCTGGCTGTTATGTCAGTCTACCTCAACAGCCGAGCATAAGCTCATAAATAAACACACCTAGGCCCTTATGTTTCAGTACACACACATCATGGCACCGTGCTGATCTATTTGAGTACGAGAACATGGCATTGAGCGGACCAACAAAGATAAGAGCCTTAATTTGTTTACGGTAGCGAGGGCCTGTGGCTCGAGGGTTTATTGAGGTTGATATGATAATCCCCATACATCTCCCTGACCCTCATCCTCATGCAGTGTCCGCCACTGGTCCTACCCACTGCACTAATAACAACCTCAAAGCTGTGTGTTTGTGTGTGTGTGTGTGTGTGTGTGTGAGAGATAGAGAGCCGTGCTGCCGTCCTTGACAAATGGTTGCATTGATTTCTACCAGAGAAAAGTAATTTAGTTGAAAGAAGATGGTGAGCCACTGCAGAAACATCTTTGTAGATAATGAGCACATTCTTGTCCACCGTGCAGTATAGCTCACAGATGCATGTTATGGTTCCCTGCCACAATGCTGAGTCCTTTTAAAGGCCTTTAACTGGCAGCTCTTTTTATCTAAGGGTGCCTTTGTCTTTGTGATAATAAAATGTGTTCATGTAGGATGTAAAACCAAATGTAAAAGTGTGTAAAACTTGCTATCACCTCTCCTTCTTCTCTGTGGGTCGGGTTTAAAGAAGAGTTAAATAACCTCACAGGTTGCTGCTTAATGTGTGATAATCAAGTGTCCTGTAGACTTTAGTATCTCTCACATTAATCTGAATCAAGAAATCAAATCTATAAGCACATGTGGAAGAAGAAATAGGAAGCGCTGCACTGGGTTAAGACACCAAGTGATAGTAAAAAATCAGGTGCTCTTCAAGGATAAGGTAAGTAGTCGAATAAGAATAAAAAACACAAAGACTGTCCAGCTTCATTAATGTTGAAGTCCATAGTATAAGTTGGCAGTCCTAAAAGTATCTTAAACACTTTGACTGTAAGCAAAACTCCTTCATAGCACATGGACGACAAATGCCTGTCAACTTTAACAGCCATCATAAGGGTATAACAGGCACTTTAAAATGTATCGAGAGGCCATGTGACTCGAGAAACACTTGAAAACAATGACAGTGAAAATAACAGAAAGAAATGTAAATATGTTCTGTGACTGACTCCCACGTGTGACAGCAGAAAAAGAAGCTGAACCATGAAAAATAAAATGAAGGTCAAACTGACAGTGACAGTAAAAAAAACCCAGTGAAAATAAAATAAGA